GGAAAAATCAGGGGAAAATCAGGGAGAAATCGGGGAAAATCAGGGAAAAAATGGGAAAAATGAGGGGAAAATGAGGGAAAATCAGAGGAAAAATCAGGGGAAAATAAGGGGGAAATCAGGGGAAAATCAGGGAAAAATTGGGAAAATCAGGGAAAAATAAGGGAAGAATCAGGGGAAAATCAGGGGAAAATTGGGAAAATCAGGGAAGAATCAGGGGAAAATCAGGAAAAATTGGGAAAATCAGGGAAAAATCAGGGGAAAATCAGGAAAACAATCAGGGGAAAATCAGAGAGCTGTCAGAAGACAGAGCTCTCTTTGGTGTTTGTCACCACAGTCTGTGATCTGGGGCTGAGGGGAATTGGAGATTAAGTGAACTCTTCACTTTGAGGAGTGCCAGGGGGCAGGGCTGGATGGGATTTTGGGAATTGGGAATTCCCAGATTTGCTGTGGCTGCCCCTGGATCCCTGGCAGTGCCCAGGGATGGGGCTTGGAGCAGCCTGGGACATTTGGAAGTTTTTTTTTTTTCCAAGTGATTAAAAAGGATTTTGGTTCATGAATCTCCTCTCCTGACCTTTGTCCTTCCTCTCCATGCTCCTGCTGAGCAGAAAAAACCTGGAACTTCAGAGGGATGTGCAGCTAAAATCCAAAATTCCCACCCAGTGTTCAAGTTGTCTCTTTATAGTGTTGATACAAATATCGAGCTCCATTGAAATATCTTTTATTTGCATCCACTCAGGACTAGAATGCATCAGGAATATTTATTGTTTAATATCTGTGCAATACACAGATTTTCTGTTTCCTGGGTAAATCACAGGAGAATGGTTGATGTTGATTGCTGCCTTGTTTTCCAGGAGAGGTTCCAAGTGAAGAATCCTCCCCACACTTACATCCAGAAGCTGAAGGGATATCTGGACCCAGCAGTGACCAGGAAGGTGAGGAGCATCCTGAATTCTCCTGCCTCTTCTTCCTCCTTCCCCAGCCAGGCTGGCCCAGCTCCTCCCTGCTTGGTAAAAATGGCCTGGGAAGTGTCAGGGAGCAGCAAGGAGAAATTGGGAATTGGATGCACTTTTCCAGCTTGGGAAGCCAAGGAGCAGCTGCCATGGAAATGATCTGGGGCTGTGTCTGAGCTGGGCTCCAGGCCTGGCTCTGGTGCAGCCATCCCTGCCTGAGGGCTCCGGGCCCTGGGGAGGGGAATGGGAATTTGGTCTGGGAATTCGGGTGGCAGAGGCTCAGTGCAGCTGAGGGCACTGTCCATGGGATCAGCTCCATCCATGGGATCAGCTCCATCCATGGGGATCATCTCCATCCATGGGATATCTCCATCCATGGGATCAGCTCCATCCATGGGATCATCTTCATCCATGGGATCAGCTCCATCCATGGGATCATCTCCATCCATGGGATCAGCTCCATCCATGGGATATCATCATCCATGGGATCAGCTCCATCCATGGGATCAACTCCATCCATGGGATATCTCCATCCATGGGGATCAGCTCCATCCATGGGATATCTCCATCCATGGGTCAGCTCCATCCATGGGGTCAGCTCCATCCATGGGATCAGCTCCATCCATGGGATCATCTCCATCCATGGGATATCATCATCCATGGGATCAGCTCCATCCATGGGATATCTCCATCCATGGGTCAGCTCCATCCATGGGATATCATCATCCATGGGGATCAGCTCCATCCATGGGATCAGCTCCATCCATGGGATCATCTGCATCCATGGGATATCTCCATCCATGGGATATCATCATCCATGGGATCAGCTCCATCCATGGGATATCTCCATCCATGGGTCAGCTCCATCCATGGGATCAGCTCCATCCATGGGATATCATCATCCATGGGATATCTCCATCCATGGGATATCATCATCCATGGGGATCAACTCCATCCATGGGATATCTCCATCCATGGGATCAGCTCCATCCATGGGATATCATCATCCATGGGATCAGCTCCATCCATGGGATCAACTCCATCCATGGGATATCATCATCCATGGGGATCAGCTCCATCCATGGGATATCTCCATCCATGGGATCAGCTCCATCCATGGGGTCAGCTCCATCCATGGGATCA